AGATTGCGAGTCGAGCGCCCTAACCACCTGGCCATGCCCTTTTTAATCGGAACAAAAAGGAACAAGTAAACCACTTGCTGCTACATCATAAATACTAGTCTATTTATACTTTGACTGCATAGTTGCAACAGATAGCCTGAAAAACTTTCAGCATTATTTCTTGATAATACAATTTCGTTCGTGACTTTTGATACCGCGTTGACTGTTCAAAACAAACACCGAGGAAGAAATGTACCTTTGTAATTTGTACCTGGAAATCCTTATTTTCTAAAGCATCTTCCTGGAACAGTCAGAAAAACAGGTTTACTCCACGCTAAAACTATTTTTAATAGCAACTTCTGATTCTGTTCCTGGGAAATTTATTGGTTTTGTTTCGGATATTCGCCCAAACCTACACAAGGGATATATTAATGGTTGGAGACGGCTTGAATGGATAATGAAGAAAAACTTTAATATAAGTTTAACATAACAGCAAATGTACAACGTTTCGACAAGGTTTTGTCATCATCAGGTACAAAACATTGTCGAAACCTTCGTCATCGAACAAGGGATATATGCGCTAGCCGTCCATAATTTTGATGTGATAGTCTAGAGGGATGGCCGCTGTTCAGTACTATCCACTGCCATATCTTGAAATCGATCGTCACCCACGAGCACCCATGACCCCAAAGCCAAAGTGCAAAGAATGATGTTTTTTATTCGGCGGTTCCAGCATGCTAACTAATATTGGAAGACAGTATTAAAAATGAGACGGAAAAGTTGCTATTAAAAATAGTTTTAGCGTGCTGTAAATCCGTATCGTATTTTACTAGTACCTGGCCGGCCATGATCTAATGATGAGCGTGCTCAGACTGTGGACCCAAGGGTTCATGATTCGCAGCTTCTTGCCACTAAAATTCGATCTGCACTTTGTGGCCATAGGTGTGTTGTAAGAGAAGTGAGTGTTGTTCACTAGCTGTCTTCATTCTAATGTTAATGAAAGTGAACTGGCGGATTAAATACCTGATTGGTCAAATGCTCGACTTGTGGGTTTATAGCCGTATTTCACCATAAGAGAATCTCACATTTGTAATATAAATACAAATCTGTAATATGAATACAACTTCAATATTTTCCTCAGACTAGACAATACTGGGTGTTTTATTACGAAATTTGAAATTTAGTTGCTAACAAGGATTGTTTAGCGCAAGAAATACATTTTCAGTTATTAAGAAAACTTGAACATGAAACTCAGAGAAGAATATATCTGAATAAAAATTCCATTTAAAGTTTATTATTTATATTTTCTGAAAATTTCTTTTGTTCTGTGGCATTAAAGTATATTTACAAAGATTAGATGAATAAAGAAGGTAGAATTTAATTGGCCAGAAGTGATTAGAATATAGACCAATTTCATACTGTTTTACAAGATTTACTTATTTTGAAACCAAAATAACAAACTTATTCAAAATTTCATTTCAGGTTTTAAAGGGGTATTTTCATTCTTCTTAAGTTGAAGTTAAATCAAGTTTTCCTAAAGTCAGAATTTAAGTTTTAATTATCATGTACTTAGCACGACAGTGCAATCAAATTAAACATATTTACACTGTTCAAAATGATTAAGGACTATTCGGAAATTTCTATGTTTAGCTATGACAAGGCACAGCTACTCTTATTAAGTTATATCAGTGTCATCCCAAGTTCATTTTTGTATAAAGCAAGTATCGGGTGACCAGTGATGTGATCGGATATGCAAATATATACTATTAGAGTCCATGTCTACAAATTCTTATTTTGATACGACACACAAAGTAAATGATCAGAAAACATTTGTTAATAAAGTATATGATCATCTCAGATATTAATGCAAGTTTTATATCGATGATGACGTGCTTCAAATGACTGAATCAATGAGATTCCTGGATGATATAGCCTATTACTCTGTCAGAATTGCTTCCAGTCCATCAACACTAATAGAAAGTAAATTATGTGCTGCAAAGCGTCTTCTCAGTGCAGTTCACTTCATGCTAACAATCAGTTTGTTCTATTCGTCTTTTTTCCAGGATGTTATTAATTAGCTCGATGTGGTGGAGGAGAAGTGGACTATTATTTCATTAAAAGAAAATGTTGACCAACTACGCCTGAATATGGTAACATTATAATAATTGTAGTAAAGATGCCCACCTATATGGTTTTTTGTAGCACATAAAGGTCAGTGGCCACCATTACTGATCCTTACCCAAACCAGTATTCCACCACTGCCATTGGATATAGTACCGACCAATCACTAAAAGCATACAAGACTTGCACTTGGCTGCATTGTGAAGTGTAATTTGTCTGTGAACATACCGTTCGACCAGCTCACCTGGTTTTGACACCACTAAAGAAGTATTGTTTTGTGACAACGAGATAGAGAAACACATATCATTAGTAATATGAAATATAGGCCAACTTTTGTTTCGGACTATTTACATACTAAATTTATTACAGTTATTATTTTGAACTGTTGATACTGTTAGAAAACTTAGGTCTGCGGGGTATTTGAAGCCCATATTTCTAAATAACAGTAGTATGAAAGTGATTCTACCTCCTGTAGCCACTCTGTAACAGTTTGTTTTACCGTCTTTTAGCAGACCTACTACATGGAAAATCCACGTGTTTTGATTGGAGTTCTAACTGAGAAACGCTGCATATCCTATGCACTTATATTCAACTAAAATGCAGATATTAGATCACGTTACCAGTCACCTGGCACTTGTTTGCCATATAAATGATCTTAGGAATGCCATTGACATTATTTAATTAATAATAGTAGCTGTGCCTTAATATAGCTGTATGTAGAAAACTCCGATTATTAGTTGAACAGCAGAGACCCGCAAAATGTTTGCTGTCAAATTAGTATCTTTATTGCAACAGTATTTCTTTAAATACAAGATTTGTAGAATGATACAAATAAAATATAATTTTATATAATTCCACATGTATTTAGGTCGTACTTTAAAAAGCCTTAACTAATGTTAGGCCGAAGTTCGATAAAGAGATAAATTAACACCGTACTGTGTACGTTTTTTTTTACCTGAGATTAGTTAGGATTAAACTATACTGTACTTAATACTATCTATAAATAAACTTATAATGTTATTCTCGGGCCTCACGTCAAACATTTATGAAAAGTTCAAACTTTTAATGTTGTTGCATTGAATGGTAAATAAAGAATATTTTTATCCACCTTTTTGTTATCCCATCATTCGTAGAACAGTTGTAGTGACTTGTTCATTGAGCATTCCACCTCTCTGGCACACGCAGGTGCTTGCACTGTTTTTCTGGGTAAAAGTCTTACTGCGCATGCTTATAAGGCGTACCGACAGCAGAATTATAGTATGACAAGAATCAGGTGCGATTAGAATTATTTTGTATTATTCTATAAATCTTGTATATAAAGAAGTAGTGTTGCAACAAAGACTCTAATCTGAGCGCAACTGTCTTGAGAGTCTCTGATAATAATACTCAGTTTTCTGTCATGATGATGCGCGCGCACCTTACTATCTAAATACGCATGCGTGCACACGTTATTTGCGTAACAGACACACGAAAAAGAGTATTATTGTGTAGATTGTTTTGAACAGTGCGTATTTATTACATATATTATATATTGTAAAATAATCACATTACGAAAGTTATACATATATATATACATTTTATGAACTGTTAGTGAGAGTAGTTGTCAAAATAAGGGAATGACGGGTAATTTTGTGTACAGTGCTATACCTTTATGCTCAACTGTTCGATTAGTAGCAGTTTCTGAATAATAATCCATTAATAAATGTCGCTTACTCTTTAAATTGCTTATTGTTTTACCTAAAGGTTTGATATTGTGATCTGAAAAAACACAATAAAAACCAATATTTTTCAAAATTTGTAAACAAAAAAAAATCATAACAGATCAAAATTATTTTGCTCAGTCCAAATGCAAAGAAAGAAACTCCCAAAAATATTACAATACCGTGCTTTTTAGGTTCTGAACAAAATCTGTATCCCGGTGGGTCAACTGTAAGTTTAAGGACTTATAATGCTAAAATCAGGGGCTCAATTTCCCACAGTGAACAAAGCACAGATAGACAGTATGTAGCTTTGCACTAAAAAAAATCACAGCAAAATGTCTGAAAAACTCCTAACATTATCTTGGAACATGTTTCAAAATTATTATTATAATTTTTATATGAGAATAAAGAAAACGAATCTTGCTGCTTTCAGTTATCTTACAAAATAATTTACTGCACAATGTTTCAACCGTAACTCTTGTTCATTGATGTTGTACCATAAATTGGGGAAAATGTTTCACATTATGCAATTTATAAGAATATTGAAAGCAGAAAACAAACATCTTTTTCTTATCCCTTCTATATCACATTTCAACAAAATTAATTATTAGTTTTACTGTGACTGAAGCTTCCCAAATAGGCTCTAGTATAACTTGATGGTCAGGGCACTCGATCAACACTTTGATTAGGGACGGCTAGTACAGATAACCCTCGAGTATCTTTGAGCGAAATTCAACAAAACAAATAAACTTCCCCAATATAACCTATTTTGCTAAATTTCTTTTTTAAGTAATGAGAGAGATTTTAATATAATAAAACGAATGTTGTAAATTTTAAAAAATATATCAAAGGGATATAAAAATATTATTGCGTTTTCATGCTATTGTCGGTAACGTAATGTATGGAGTGTCGTTATTGTAACTGCAATTTGTAAAGAGCTATATTTTTTACACAAGTAAAGCAATTTGTAAAAGCCTCCATGATTAAGTAAAAACTATTTACAAAATATTTTTCTTCTAGACGTTCTAAAGATGAATTTAATTTTTAAAGATAATTGGAAAACTTTTATTCTGTTTGAAATTTGAGAAAGTTCTTAAAATTTTACGAAGGGATTTTTATTTTGTAAATGAACAAAATTTATGTTTTCAAATTACTACACAACTATTTATAACTAAATTGTTTATTTTTTCCTGTTTTCAGTTGCTGTGGTGGTGACATTTTTTGTCTGTTACGCTCCGTTTCACGCGCAACGTCTGATGGCGACTTACGTCACAGATCCTACGCCTACAGAGACCATTATTTACGACGTACTAATGTACATGTCAGGCGTGCTATATTACGTCAGCGCTACCATTAATCCTATCCTGTACAGTATTATGTCATTCAAATTTCGACAGGCTTTTAAGGAGACTTTAGCAAAATGCTGTGGAAGACAAATTGCACGATCTCAAAACTTCACGGTCATGCCTAGATACATCGCACGTCACTCTACTGCCTTCGAAACGACAGACCTAACTGTACTCTCCGAGTCATCACATCCTTATCAACGTTGAACTTCTGCAGTTCAGCAATATTACTCCATGTCTGAGGGTATAAAAAGTAACCCTTCTGCTCGGGAACAAGTCAGAGAGACGGGAGTGTCTAGCATTTTCAATCCACAAACCTGAAGACGAAAACGGAAGGATGAGTTTCAGTCTTCAGGGGACGAATGATGGCGCTTTTATTGAATCGACATACGTCGTTCAATCAAAACGCTTGTCTGATGATGAGTAAAGAGACCCTCAAAGGAGAAAACTGTTTTAAGTTGTAAAACATAATTGGCTGGAGCTTCTGAGAATTGAAGAATTAAGTGTTTCTCCACCTAAATCCTCACGTTAAAAGCTTACTGTGTGAATAACCTGATTATCAGTGTTAGGGATTCACGGCTTAAGTAATATTTTTATAGCAACAAAAAAACCTGCCTAGAACGATTATAATAGGCTTTTGTTTTATGAACGTTTTTGTCGAAATGCATTTTTGTTTTTAGTTCTGATTAACGCATTTTAATTATTTTAATTGTACAGTTCATATCGATGCATTTTAATTATTTCAGTTATTATCATACAATTTAGTTATTATAATTATTATCAAATAATTTAGTTATTCATTTTTGATAATGTATTTAGTTGTTCACTTCTCATCAATGTATTATATTACGTATTATAATTTGAAATGGTCTGAAACCGAACTAAATGATACTTTAAATTTAATAGTTAAATTGTACTTTGGATTTAGCAGTTAAGTAAAAGCCGATATATAGTCATTTTATGATATTTGCCAACAAGATTGATACACAGTTTTCCTTTTTTTACCACACATACGTTTCAATATACGCACAACAATACAATTATACAATAACAGTTACTACAAATAGTTATTAAACAATGATTTATAAACAAAAGTTTCACAAACTTACAAGCAATATAAAGTCTTCTTTTTAGTCTGGAACTTCGTTGACATCTTATCGAGAGCTCACGATGAGCGAGTTGATTACGAGTTGATGTAGATATAATTCACTTAACGGGAAGCTAGCTAGCTTTGTCCTTCGTTATTTATCAACCACACACACACGATGAATTTATATAATGTTGTCTAATGTCCAATGAGAATCCACTGAAGTTAAATGATTTGTAATGTTCGAACTTTGTAAAGGTTCATGGTCAAATATCTGAAGTTTTCCGAATAATAAGCGTTATAACAGTCACAGTTATAGCTTCCAAAGTTTATACCACACTGACTATAGCAAACCAATAATAGATACTCATTTTGGCGCGTCGCGTTGGTTATATCTATAGGCGTGTGGAGGCTTTCTAGAAAATTCAGATTACGTAACAATACAAATTTAAGCATTTACGTACATACATATATTGTTGATTCTTACTCTGGAGAATCTTCTACATCTTTGGAGAATAGGTGGGAGTTTCGCAATACATATTTAACAGTATAAGGTATGTGTATTTCCAAATAGAAATTTAATCTAAATAAACGTTTATATTAAAATAAATATATAATAATAAATTCGTCACAATTATAATTGTTTAATTATCATAAATGATTTTATTTGTTCAGCTCTTTTTATTGTATTTGAAGTTACTTTTTTCTTGCCAATACATCTGCAGTCGTTCTTTCAAACAATTTTTAACAAAACTTTTCAAATTATGAATAAATATCGTTTTTATATGGAAAATTACGAGAAAACCCTCAAACTCAATCTCTTTTAATCTAATTATTAATAAGAACTTCCGAGTGAGAGTAATGAAGGATGTATAATAACATGTCATCCACACTATATCTGCTATAACCATTGCCAACGAGTCCTTTCCGCTAATACCAGAGCTCTTCATATCGGCTGAGATACGACAGGTATGATAGTGGTAGAGAGGTTATTTATGTTGGCAAATTGTTTGACAACAACTTTGAAGATGTGAATGGGATTCAACCTAATGTTAATACAAACTTACTGATAACTATAGTGCATTGTCTAACATGGAACTTATCTAATATGCGTGAATAATATGGGAACGAGAATTACGATTGCTTATTTAAAAAAAGAAAACAAATAATTCATATCGAGACGGGTATGTGTTTCTTGATGATATCACGACTTACTGGCACAACATCAATGGAAGGAGAATTTGATTTGATTTTAACAGACCACATCCTAAACTGTGAAGTAATAAAGTGTTCTGGCTATTTACACAAAACATTTGAGAAGTTAACCACCACAGGCCCAACCATTAAAGTTCCAGAATATTACATGACAACAGTGAATTATATTGTTTGTTTTTGAATTTCACGCAAAGCTACACGAGGGCTATCTGCG